GCCTTCCCAAGGGGTGCACAGGCAGGAAAAGGTATAAAGGAATTTGTGAGAGATCCTGTTTCCATTCCCACTCTTCCCTGCTCTGCCTGAGAATGCGCCTTGGTGTCTCACCTGTGCCGCCTCCCTCTTCACAACTGTCCTTCTCCTTCTCAGCAAAAGAGACCAACTCCTCCCTCATCCGGAATCTGGCTCTGGGGCAGAGACCCGCAGTGTCCAATTAGAACAATTTAGAATGTTGGTGCTAACAAATCTTCTGTAATCCAGGGGCCAGAAACCCTTGCTCCTCAAAGTCTGGTCCGTGGAAAAGCAGCATCAGCATCACCCGTAGGCCTAATTGGAAACACAGACCCTCAGGTCCCAACACAGTCCTCCTGAATCACAAGCTGCATTTTAGCAAGATCCTTAGGTGGTCCTTGTGCCCCTGGAAGCACGAGAAGCACTGCCATCAACCACCCTGCCCTCCTCATTGTGAGAAGCATTTCCCATATGTCCTTTTTATTTTTAGTCATTACTTATCAAATTACCAAATATTGATATTATCCTGACAAGCTGTGATAAATTAATCTGTAAGATATCTACTGTTTTATGGTCAAAAGAAATTTTTTAATGTCCATTTCAGTATGTATTTTGGATAAAAATAAGTATAATAGAGTCAATAACTTTCAAGCGTAAGAATATTTTAAGACAAAACTCCGTGAAGGCATTAGAAGGGAATAATGAGTTCAAGAAGGTAAAGACAGGAACAATGCAAATGTAAAATTTCTGACCTGTATAGGAAATTTTTGACGAGTGGTGGTGCATACCAGTGTATTGTGGTATTTATCTGATGACCTGGTAATTCCACTCATGGATACATAACTAAAAGAAATCAGTGTTTATGTCCACCAAAAAAAATTTTTTTTATTTCTCATAGAAGCTGTATAGCCAAATATTAGAAATAACCCAAGATGTCCATGAAGAGTAGGTAGGATTTTTTTAAATGTGAGACAGTCATTCAGTGGACTGCTATACACCAAGGAAAAAACTAACTGCTACCTGCTTGAACCTCCTTATGTTGACTGAAGGGAGCAACAAAGAATGAGATCATGAAAAGTAGTTTCTGGTGACAGAGGGCAGAGGTGACAGATCACCTCAAAGGTGATCATTTCTCTGACTGAGCGGGAGATACACCATGACACCTTGATCCCCATGACGCCTTGATCCCCATGACGCCTTGATCCGGGTGGTAAGTGCAGTGGTAGAAATGAATTGAGCTGCACACTGAAGATCTGGGCGTTCCTGTATGTAAGTGATACTTCGAGAAAAGGGCAAAAGAAAAATTGCTCTGTTATTTAGCTTCCATTTGACACATTTAAGAGAGGAGTGTAATTTTATTCAAGGTCAATATTTACAATATGGCAGAAATGATATCCTCTGTAACTATTTAAACTTCTAATGAAACAGTTTAGATGTCAAGTTAAAATGTGTGAGGCAGAAGAGATATTTTTCCCCCAAAGTTCATCTAGAGGGTAGGCAAGCAGAAAAGTTTTAAAACCAGTGCTTCAGAGCCCAAGCACGGCTCCTCCCAGGAAGCCCGGGACTGCTCAGCCCTCATGACCCTCCTCTGAACTCCCATGGTTCTTAGCATTAGCCTCAGCCTGCCTCGTGCCGTGTTTTGAATCCTTTCATGTGCGCGTGTCGTGCCTGCCTCAGCTCTGCCAGTGAAATGTAAGCCTCAGGGCGGATCCTTCCGGTACACACGGTCACCAGGCTATCAGCGTCTCAGAGCAAATCACTCTTTGCCTTCCCCAAGAGCTGCCAGCCCAGGACATCGAGGGCGTGATTAAGGGAACCTCACCCAACACACACACACACACACACACACACACACTCGCCATACACACGCCACACACGCACATACAACACATGCCCACACTCACTCACACAGCACACATATTCTTACACACACCACACTCACATGCCACACACACACCACACATACACACACCACACTCACATGCCACACGCACACCACACATACACACACCACACACACAATCACATACACATATCACACACATTCACACACACTTACCACAGACACACACCATAAACAACACATGCCCCACACACTCTCACGCAGCACACACCCACACATTCACACACACTACACATACACACCACACACAACCACATACCACACCCACCACACGCACACACAACACATGCCACAACTCACACATACAACACACACATTCACACACTTACCATACACACACCACACATACACACACTACACACACAACCACATATCACAGACCACACAACCACAACACACGTTCACACATTTACCATACACACAACACACAGACTCACATATAACACACACCACACCTCCCAGATACACACCACACACACCATATACACCACAACCACCACACACATTCACCTACATTTACCACACATACCATATATTCACATACACACTCACATACACACACCACACACATTTACACACTACACCCACACACACAAATGACACACCCACACATTAACACACCACAACCACATACAACCACATATCACACATGCTACATACATACCACAACTACCACACATTCACACATATTTACCACACATACCATATATCACACACACCACACATTTTCACAGGCACACTCATACACATTCACATATCACACACTTACACATTTCTACACATTATATATACACGCCACATACTTTCACATACCCACATACACACACAACCACACACATACACAAATTTACCCCCTACACACCACACATACTCACATGCACACTCACCCATTCACACACACCACACACACTACACATACAACAGACATAGATATTATTATTATCCACTTTTACAGATGAAGAAAGCAAGGCTCTGTGTGAACTGATCAAGAACTTGTCCAAGGTGACATTCTGTTCCATGAACTGTGTCAGTCCACACAGGTACACCCTGACACGGCCCACTTTGCTGAACTTGACTGAGAAGCCGTCACTCCCACAAGCGCACGCCCAGCCTTAACAACACATACTCACAATGCTTTCCAAACATTTAGAAACTTACTTCTGGAGCACCACTATTTGGGACTCATAATAACCTTCATAACAATGGGGAGCACTTCCAGAGCACACCACTTGTTCCATGCCTGGTGCTGAGTTCCTCGGGTACCTGCCTCACGTAATCCATGCCGCATGCCCTATGAGGTGGGGGCTGCTGGGATCCCCCCACTTTTCCCCACAGATGAAGAAGTGCGGGCTCGGAGGTCAGCAGCTGGGGTCACAACAGCTGACGTGCGCAGCGAAGCCAGAACTCAAGCCCAGCCCCCTCAGACGGGAACAGGCGCCCTCCCAATGCCCCACTAAGCTGAGGCCAGATTATTTTTCAGTCTTCCATCCAGCTGTATTCAACTTCCAGTACCCTTCTTGTAACAAGAGGGTGGTCTAAAGAGATACTATCTATCAATAATGCTGCAGTCACTGCCTTCCTCCATTACAGGGCATAATCAGGAGCCAATGTTCTAGACTGTAGAGGAAAATCTCATAAATCACACGGTGCTGACGGGG